CATTTTCAGCTTTATGTTGCCCAGTCCTAGAGCCTCGACCACTCTACCATCACCAAGTTTAACAGATTGTGGTTCTGAGAACTGCTGGTAGTGTCGAAGTCCTTCTTTGTTCCACGTCATGTGTTTTGATGCTCCGGAATCAATCAACCACTCTCCTTGTTGTGAATCACTTTGTTGACTTGACTCGCTTACAACGAAGGCACCCTCACATGAGTCCTCTGTATCCTCATACATCATGCTTTTAGCCTTGTGGGTTTTGTATTTCTTTTTGTTGCTTGGACAATCACGTTTGATATGTCCCTCCTTTCCACATTTGTAACATCTCCATGAGCTGGGACTGTCTGCTCCCTCTGATTTTGACTTGTTCTGCATATTTCCACGCATTTGAATTGACATGGCTGATGCACCACTGGACGCTGTGCTGTTGTCAGCATGCACTCGTTTTTGTTCCTCATTTATCAATGCCTGTTGGACAAACTGTAGTGTCAAATTGTCAATCTTTGTCTCCAATGCAGTAACAACTGTTGCATAGCTGTGTGGTAGACTTCCTAGAAGAGTCACAATTTGATCTTCTTCCTCAATCACAGAGCCTATGGCACCTAGCTTATCAGTGAGCTCCTTCATTCTTTTCAAATGATCATTTAGATTTTCTCCTTCCTTCATTTCACACCGGAAGTACTTTTTCTTTAGAAATAGCTTGTTAGCAACCGTGTCTCTTTCAAATTGCCCTTTTAGTGTCTCCCATGCTTCCTTGGGGGTCCGGCAGCTTGTTATCAAGTATAGCTGGGGTGTACTTACATTTAACACCAACACCGAAAAAGCTCTCTCTTTCTTTCTTTCAAATTCGGCTCGGGTGTTAGCATTTGCATCTGCGGCTAACTGATCCGTCTCTTGTACCATACCCCACAGTCCTTTTGCTTTCAGAAGATGCTCCAACTGAAATTTCCATGTTGCCCAGTTCTCAGGTCCGCTCAGCTTGTCAATAAACAGTTTATCTTCCATTGTGAATCCCACAATACTGTTTATGACCCACAAAATCCGTGTTTAGCAGCCTTTTTCAGCAATCTCTGGGCCCATAACCTGTTGTTTGTTCACATGGTTTTATTCAAAAGTTACACCGCCGTGCCACTAGAGGGCAGTAATGCACTTACACCATACATTTATACTTACTTATAAAATTACTATTACAACAATATATATATATTTATATTTAACATATATATATATATATATATATATATTTAACATATATATATTTTTTATTATCATTTTTATTTGGTTGGTGGTTACAAAATGTTTTTCACAAACCGACAAAAGAAGAGAGGAGGAGAAGTGGCCTTGTATGTGGATAATAATATTAACTGTAAAACTTTAGAAAACATGTCTTTTGCTGTGGAGGAACTTTTTGAGTGTGTAACAGTAGAATTGGCTCTTCCAAAAAAGAAAAACGTGATTGTAAGCTGTGTTTACAGGACACCAGGCTCTGACCTGAAGACATTCAGAGAATGGATGGAAAAAATATTCATGAATAAAACCAGAAAATATATTATCTGTGGAGACTTTAATATTAATCTATTAAATCCGAATAAACATAAATTAACAGATGAATTCATGGATTCTATGTTTTCCATGAGTCTCTGTCCTCTAATCACCAGACCCACCAGAATCACAGCACACGGAGCAACGTTAATTGATAATATATTCTGTAATATTGTGGATAATGATGTAACTGGTGGACTCTTGATAAACGATATTAGTGATCACTTACCTGTCTTCATGTTGTACAATATAAACTGTAAATTATCAAAAGCCGTAAATAGTGACTGTTACCGCAGAGTTACAACAGAACAAACAATAATAGCTTTTAAAAATGATTTGGCAAATACAAACTGGGAATGTATTTATGAAATGTCCGAGGTAAATGCAGCTTATAATTTGTTTCTTGACATCTTTGTCACACTGTACAACAAACACTGTCCGAATGTTAAGTGTAAAACGGGAATCTCTACAAAAACTCCCTGGATGACAAAAGGGCTAGTGAACTCCTGCAAAAAGAAAAATTATTTGTATAGGCAATTTTTAAAGTATAGAACTAGAGAGAGCGAACAAAAGTACAAAACGTACAAAAATAAATTAACCACCATACTAAGGGTAAGTAAAAAAGAATATTACACCAATTTAATTGTCAAAAAGAGAAATGACATTAAAGGAATTTGGAATGTACTGAACACTGTAATGGGTCGTGGTTCTAACAGCCTCTGTTATCCAGATTATTTTGTGGAGAATGGAACAATTATAAGCGACAAAAAGATGATCGCTGACAGATTTAATCATTTCTTTGTAAATGTTGGTCCCGAGTTGGCTCGAAACATACCAGACAATAAAAAGCAGCTAAAGAGTCTAATTAAAACTAACTCTAACTCAATGTTCCTCACTCCCACTGACACAAGAGAAGTACTAAGTGTAATAAAAAAATGCAAGAACAAAACATCATGTGACATAAACAATATTGATATGAAAACCATACGAAATGTTGCAGATGAAATCACTGAACCCTTTACATACATCTGTAATTTATCCTTTCAACTTGGCCACTTCCCCTCCAAAATGAAAATGGCAAAAGTTATCCCACTTTTTAAATCAGGAGATAAAAACTGTTTCAATAACTATAGACCGGTGTCCCTTCTGCCTCAGTTCTCCAAAATACTAGAAAAATTATATGACACAAGACTCCGGGGTTTTATTGAAAAACAAAAAATATTGTCAGATAGTCAGTACGGGTTTAGGCAAAATCGATCAACATCACTAGCCCTAATTGATTTAATTGAGGAAATTACCAATGGTATTGAAAAAAACAAATTTGTATTAGGATTTTTTATTGATCTACAGAAAGCATTTGATACCATTGACCATAATATTTTACTAAGCAAATTGGACAACTATGGCATAAGGGGACCAGCAAAAGAGTGGTTAAAAAGCTATTTATGTGAGAGACAGCAGACTGTCCAGTTTGATCGTCATACATCAGAGTGTCTGAACATAACATGTGGAGTACCACAAGGGTCGATACTGGGACCCACATTATTTATAATGTATATAAATGACATAGACAAAGTATCAAAAGTATCAAAATGTATATTGTTTGCTGATGATACAAATATTATATTTTCTGGTGATAACTTAGAGCAACTTTTGGCCACAGTAACTGTGGAGATGAACACTTTAAAAACTTGGTTCAACAATAATAAGTTGTCGCTAAATTTAAAAAAAACAAAAATTATGCTTTTTAGTAATCGGAAATGTAATGTACCAGTCAGGATTCTCATTGATGATACCCCAATAGAAAAAGTAAATCAAAATACATTCCTAGGAGTTATAATAGATGAAAAGATCTCCTGGAAACCCCACATTAGTTACCTGAGGACAAAGGTTGCTAAATGTGTTGGAGCGATGAGAAGAGCAAGCCACTCACTGAACACAAAAGCTTTATTGTTATTGTATCGTTCTTTCATTATGTCGTATTTGAATTATTGTGTGGAAGTTTGGGGAAACTGCTATAAATCTCACTTAAAGCCTTTAATCACTCTTCAAAAAAAAGCTATTCGTATTGTATCAAATGTCCATTATAGACATCATTCAAACCCACTGTTCATGGAGTTGGGAGAAGTGAAACTGCAGGATGTGATTACATTTAGAACTGCTCAAATAGTGTTCCGGGCATCAGTAAACTCTCTGCCATCTAAGTTGCAGAACCTTTTCCTTGATCGAGATGCTCATCATAATTATAGACTTAGAGGCAGTAAAAAAGTGTATGTGCCTAAATGTAGGACTACTTTAAAATCAATGTGTATCTCAGTGCGAGGAGCAGCTGTTTGGAATGATTTATCAGATGAATTAAAGACCTGCTCAAACCTGATCACATTTAAAAGAATGTTTAAAAAAGATTTATTGAACAAATATGTGGAAGTAAGAGAGTGATGCCTTGAGCACAGAGCAAGTAGTGGGTGAGAGGTGTAGGGTCGGAGTGTGTTTGGGCCTGTGTGTGTGTGTGCGTGTTTAGTGTTGTCTGTCTTATACCGTCGGTGGTAGTATTGTATAACTGTTGTAATGTATTGTCGTATTTTCAAGAATTCTACTGCATGATATTGTTAAACACTTTGTCTGATGGGGTTGGAACCCAATAAGCATTTGCTTCATCCAACTCCTTTTCGAACCAGGTACGGGTTATCTGTCTGCTATATTGATATATGTAAAAATGTGTATTGTGCATGGTTCGAAATAAATAAATAAAATATTTACTTTTTTAAAAAATTATTATTATTATCCATCCATCCATCTTCTTCCCCTTAACCCATTTCTGGGTTATTATCATATACTGTGTAGAGTCTTTGGCCTGAGGCCAAACATCTGATTAATATCAACTTGTGTTGAAAGAGGTGCAGCCGAGAGCAGAGCCAAGTCCCTCCCAGTCCCAAACCTGGCTCCAGTCCCAGACCTGGCTCTAGTCCCAGACTTTGCTCCAGTCCAGGTCTCCAGGATGCAGAGCAGTGTGGGAGGATCTATGGTGCGGACTAGTCTAAACACGCTTTTAAGAGTTTAAATCTGTGATAGAAGACAGCGTGTGACAGTCTGCAGCACGAGGATGTTTAAGCCTGGACTAAAGCCGTATTAAAGCAGGACTACAGATGGACTAAAACTGGATTAAAGCAGGACTAAAATTGGAATACATCTGGATTAAAGCAGGACTAAAATTGGAATACATCTGGATTAAAGCAGGATTCAAGTTGGACTAAAGCAGGAGATCTCAACTGTTCTTTCCAAATGGGTTGAGGGACATTTCTGTCTGTGGTTTTCTGAGTAGGACGTATGGACATGGTTTCTCTCCTGGTTTCTCTCTTGGTCTCTCTGGGCAGTCTTGGACACAGAGGCCCCTGAGGAGAGCTGGGGGACGTGGGGATGGACTGACCCGGGTCTGGGGTCTCAGGAGTGGGTCCTGGTACATGCGCGGGGTCAGGGTGCGATTGCTGCTGCTCTGGTTGAGCTTCACTACGACGTTTGTATCTCTGGAGGTGAAACGTTGTGGGTCAGAAGACGGACTTGTGCTGATCGAGAATATCACGGCCCGGCAGCCAGACTGGGTGAGGAACGGTACCCGAGGACCTCAGGGAGACCTCAGGGAGACCTCAGGGAGACTTCAGGGAGACCTCAGGGCGACCTCAGGGAAACTTCAGGGAGACTTCAGGGAGACCTCAGGGAGACCTCAGGGAGACCTCAGGGAGACCTCAGGGAGACCTCAGGGGACTGGAGGCTGGAGGACATTGTGGTCTCTGGTCTCTCTCTGGTCTCTCTCTGGTCTCTTTCTGGTCTTTCTCTGGTTTCTCTCTGGCCTCTCTCTGGTCTCGCTCTGGTCTCTCTCTGGTCTCTCTGGTCTCTGGTCTCTGAATGTGCTACATAAATAACCTTGCTTCCCATGTGTTTGCAGGGAGCAGACACACAGCTGTACACGCCCACTGAACAACAGATCGAGGTAAAGAATCTAGATAAAACGATTCCAAAGTCTGTCTCAAACAGAAACCTTGAATGCTGAGGTTTGAGACTTTATACTTTACAATACAATACAATTAGTAGGGTCAATATACTAATTGACCCCAAAAAAATTGGTGGTTTTATTTTAGACTGGGTCTAGTCTATAACATACTAAAAGTTGGACAAAATCGGAGTGTGGGAAAGTATCAAAATTTGGAGATGACTATTTCGGTTTACAAGTCATTTTCCATTTACGTGTGAAGCACTAACTCGTTCAGTTTTCATGATAAATCAATACATTTGAATTTTCATCCAGGTTTTCAGGGTCAATCTTTCACATGGAAGGGTTATCAGTGATGCCAAATAATCAGAATCAGAATCATTTTTTTAGGGGCGACAGTAGCTCAGTTGGTAGAGCATTGGCCTTAAGGCCAGAAGGTCGTGGGTTCAATTCCCACCTCTGCACCTTCTCCATCGACTCCCACTGATGACTGCTGTCGTTGTGTCCTTGGGCAAGACACTTAACCCCACTTTGCCCAAAAGCCCCCACTGAAAGATCAAGGCTATGCTCACACTCAGAGAGCAGCCGTCCTCCTGTGGACTCACCACCTGCAGAGGGTCAGTGAGGGGCTGGTGCTATGAGACTTGGGTGGCATCTCTGACTGCCACCCCCCTGACCCAGAAATGGATTAAAGGGTAGAAAATGGATGGATGGAGAATCATTTTTATTGCCACGTAAGTAACAGGAGGTCACAGACTAGGAAATTGCTTTGGCTCAGTGCAACAGTCAAAAAGAGATAATAAAAATAAGAATAAAAAACACTTCTAAAGAATAAATTTAAATTTAAAATAGAGATACAGTTACTATTTACAATATACAAGTGCACATGGTGCACACAATGTAAGGTGACAGCAGTACAGTGAAGTAAGGTGTAACCCAGGTGACAAATCCTGCTAGTGTTTTCCCCTTTGAATATACCACTGCTTGGCCTACTGCTGGCTCCACCCATTAGCCAATCAGATCCCTTCTAGCCAATGCATGGTTTTATTGGTTAGAGGAAAGCAGGTTCAGGAAGTGCTGTGGGGGAAGCTGTGTAGGGAGTGGCTGCAGGAGCCTTCTATTTGCCAAAGAATAGTGATCAGCTCGCTTGTGAGGAGGAATACAAGGAATTGGCCAGGTTTTGACCCTGATGGCGAGCTGAAGGACCAGGCCTAGAGCCTACAGAGCCCACTGGATCTGGAGTCGCATGTTCGCATCTCCCCTGCTGGCCGGTAGGGGGCTCCTTGCAGCCCACAAGCTTTCTCCCCACTTTGCACGGAACTTTTGCAATCCACTCATCCACATCTCACAAACTCTTGTGCACCGCCTCCCTCTGTCCAACTGGTCAAACCCAGAGTGGGTTATTGATGAACTGTGCTGCGGGCTGAGAAACTGTTTTGTTGAAGTCTATCACTGGTTTCTTTTGTGAATACTGTGAAAACCGTTTCTATACATTGTACTTGTGCAGTGCCGAATGAATATTGATTTGAAACACGTGTTACCATTGAATGGCCATTCACTGATTTTTGGGTATATGTTTTGTGTGTCACTGTATTGTTTGTCAATTTTGTCCTTTGTTAATACATGGTAACAACCAAACTTATTCAGTCTCCTGCCACTCCCTCCTTGAGCCAAATCTAGACTTCTGACTACTAGCCTAATACAACTTTATTACATTACTATTATTTTCTTATTACACGTTTATTACTTAGTACTTACTGTGTTATAACTATATATTCTAAGATTTTGTAGATTCTTGTTTGTTCAACTTAGATTATATATTATTTTATGACACAGGGGTTACATAATTAGTGGCGAGCTAGCCAGGAGGGTTGTATGAGCAGAACTGAACCAAAATAAAGACATAAAGTGACATTCAAGCATAAACATGGATGTTTTGGCAAAACATGGCATAAAGATTCCTTGTTCAGTATTAATCAAGTACACAGTGGATCAGGAATCCGATGATGAAGTTATTGCATTTCTAAGCAAGTACGGTGATCCGTCCCAAGTTCAAGTTATTGCAGATTCGGGCGGTGATTTTGAAGATACTCTTGTTGTTGAGTTTGAGTCGGGTAAGGCTTTAGATGAGTTGAGGGAAATCTTGCCATACAGATACATTTGTCGGAATAAAAAGGTTTCGTATGACATTTGTGAACTTTCAACCATGTGCTCTGAGCTTGAAGGCAAGCTCAAGACTCAGACATACTTGAGTGAGTTACAAAAAGTAGCTAAACTCACAGGGCAGGACTATGCACAGGTCCTTAAAGGTGTAATGTCTCTACTGGGCCAGTCAATTACCGAGCTCAGTCCCCCACCTGCAGTAAAGACTTCCCCAGATGCCGGTGACGATCCGACCCGAGCCATGGCTAGTACTTCTGCAGAGTTGCCCGGTGTTCCCAACTTCAGTCTGGATAGTGCTACAGCTACAACGCAAGAAGAGGGAATACCATCGCGCCGTCTGGATTCTGATGCTCAACCCAGAGTCTCTGCGAGGCCAGCATTACCAGCAATGGATATGAACCCACCCGGAGTCCAACGGTATGTTGTGGAGCATATCATGAGGAGTGATGACAATGCACATCTGTCTTCACAGCGTCTCAGATCCTTCTCAGGTCGAACCCCAAGACCACAACATGAGTCAGATTTTGAGACTTGGCGCTCCAGTGTTGATCTGTTGTTACAGGACCCTGCTGTTTCAGACCTGCAACGATCCAGAAAACTATTTGAAAGTCTCCTTCCACCAGCAGCGGATATGGTGAAACACCTCAAGCCAGATACACCACCACGTACCTACTTGCAGATACTTGACTCCGCTTATGGGACAGTCCAAGACGGCGACGAATTGTATGCCAAGTTTATGGAGTTGTTCCAGGATGCTGGTGAGAGTCCATCCACGTATCTGCAGCGCTTGCAAGTTGCATTAAATCTGGCTGTGAAAAGAGGTGGCGTCGCAGCTATCAATTTGGACCTACACCTGCTGAACCAATTTTGTCGCGGCTGCTGGAACAACACTCTCATTTCCGAACTCCAGTTAAAACAGCGCAAATCTCACCCACCATCTTTTGCTGAGTTACTGCTGTTGTTAAGGACTGAGGAAGACAGAGAGGCTGCTAAGGCGCAGCGTATGAAGCAACACCTCGGCTCAAAAGCCAGAGCCGGGGCAAATGCCCAATATGCTTATGCCATGCCAGAGGAATCCAAAGTAGACGCTTTGACCAACATCACGCAGCAGCTTGCTCAACAGCTAGCAGACATACAAAAGCAGCTGACATCGCTTACTGCTGCACAAGCTGGTCACAAGCAGAACCCTTCCTTCAATTCCAGTACAAACCCAAAGTCCAACAATCAAGGTCGATCTTCCAACAAAACCCCAGCAGCAGGACTCAAACCAGGTTACTGCTACAACTGTGGGGAAGATGGACACATAAGACCCAATTGTGACAATGATCCCAATCCATCACTTGTGGCCAACAAAAAGAGACAATTTGCAGAAAGACAAAAGAAATGGCATCAATCCAACTCTCATCCTGGGTCGTCTTTAAACTAAAGTCCGTTCCTATTGAGGGGCAAATGGGAACTGCGGAGGACAAACAATGTCCCACACAGCAGCCAGCCGTGAAGTGCCGCAGCCAGTCGCACTCAACAGCAACAGAAACTGCCAGATTACCGAGAGGCTTAATCGGATCCAGATGTACAGGCCAAGTTACCATCTCCGGCAAAGGTCTGCAGTGCCTGCTGGACACCGGATCTCAGGTAACAACTATACCTGTGTCAATCTATAATCAGTATTTTTCACATCAACCCGTTAACCCATTGTGTGAGCTGTTACAAGTAGAAGGTGCTGCCGGACAAGAAGTTCCATATTTGGGATATATTGAAGTGACTATTACTTTCCCAGAAGCATTCATTGGTGCTGACTTGGATGTCCATACTCTGGCCCTGGTGGTTCCCGATGTTGGATCAGGATTTCACTCGCAAGTCCTCATAGGGATGAACACCCTGGAGCCGCTTTATGAACAGTGTCTGGAGAGTGAGTGTGCTAGCTACAAGCCATCCCACCATGGCTACAGAGCAGTCCTTCAACTACTCCAGCTACGGCACCAGCGGACCCAAGGAGCCAATGAAGTTGTCATCAGGTTGACTAGTAAAACCCCGGTTCAAGTCCCATCGGGCCGCACTATGATTGTCAATGGTTCGTTCCCTGCCAATCCACCACCAGGTAGCAAGTGGGCTTTGATAGAGCAACCAACCACATCACTCCCTGGAGCCCTCTGTGTGAAAAGGTGCCTTGTAACACTGCCAAGTCACTCTCCATACAAGATCCCCATTATGCTCACTAATGAATCAGAGCAGAACGTTACACTCTCACCATTGAGTGTCATAGCTGAACTTACCATGTCTCCTCAGATTCTGTCACACTCTGCCAATTCGAAAACACCGTTGCATCCGGAAGTCAAACTGGAGTTCGATTTTGGTGATTCCCCAATTCCTCCGGAATGGAAAGACCGTGTCATATCCAAACTCGAACAGATCCCGGAAGTGTTTTCCCACCATGACCTCGACTTTGGACGAACTGAACACGTGAAGCATCACATCCGCCTTCACGATGAGACACCCTTCAAACACCGAGCTCGGCCCATCCACCCTCGGGATATTGAGGCTGTCCGTGACCATCTGCGCGACCTGTTGGAGACAGGGGTGATAAGAGAATCAGAGTCTCCTTTCTCTTCACCGATCGTGGTCGTGAGAAAGAAGAACGGTGATGTGAGGCTTTGCATTGACTATCGTAAGCTCAATCTTCACTCCATCAAGGATGCTTACGCTCTCCCAAACCTGGAGGAGTCATTCTCAGCTCTCACTGGCTCACGGTGGTTCAGTGTCCTCGACCTGAAGTCAGGATATTATCAGATAGAGATGGCAGAGGCCGACAAACCAAAGACTGCGTTTGTGACCCCCCT